TTTTATAAAAAAAAAGTGCTCGAGTTATACAAAATTTTATTTTTTTAGTCAAAATTGGATAAAAAAGGCTTTATACAAGATATAAAATTATTAAAACATCTTTAATAGACCCCCCCTCCATTATCGATTCATTAATATATAGTTCAGTGTATAAACTAACCAAGGTTAAGATTTATTAAAAAAAGAAAAACAAACCAAGGTTAAGATTCAATTGATTTCAACCCTAAACATAACAACGGTTGAGTTTGTCTCTTTCAAATCAAATCCTACTGTAAAATATGTTGTTGGGTTTAATGATTGAATTTGGTTAATATTTTTTATTACCAGGACATGTCGATCTAATTAAATTATAGTAGCAAACGAAATTTGACTAGATGCATTTAGCAGCCACTGAGGTTCACTGGTAGCGACAGAAAACATATTCGAATGAGGTAGTGGTGGGGCATGGTTAAAGCGCTCTATGCAACTTTTGCCACTTAACAAATTGATCACTGTTTGGGGTGCATTTATTTTTTTTTTAATTATAAAAATTTACAAAATAAAATGTATTTTTAACACTAATATTATAGAAATCGATTTATTTGTATGGTTGATAAAACTTAAATTAATTTTTTATTTTTTCTATATAAATTAATGATGAAAGTGTGTTAGAAATTCACCATCAATTTGTTTCTTTAGGCCACATATTAAAAATTTTCTTTTTAGAATAATTTCATGTTTGTGAGATTTTTTTTAAAAAGAATTTTTTTAATCTATTTACTAATGACACATATTAAAAGTGTATTTATTATACTTTTTAATTATTAATTTGTATAAAAAACAAAAATTAACTTTAATTTTACAACTATCTAATTAAAATATTTTACATGACATTAGTATTTAAAAATAAAATTTATTTTTATAATTTTTCACACAAATTAATAATAAAAATATATAATAAATGCACTCTTATTTATACACTAATAACAAGTGTTATAAAAACCCAAAAAAGAAATTCATGTTTGTTTTTCTTTGGTTCTACCTTTTCTGATGTGTTATTATTTAGTGTTATGTTACAGTGGACTGTATTTGCAATCGAATCAAATAATTTAAACCTTTGTTTCTTTCTATATATGCAGCAGCTTCCAGTGAGAAGCCCCAAATACACTGCCCTCCGCTAATCAACATCTTTGTTCTGCGTTCTTCAGTTC